TAAAATGTTACTTCAAGACTGAGTTGATGCAGCACCGAGCCTCACTCTAACTGGGGAAGTAATGGACCAAGTGGATAAGTTTTGTTATTTGGTCAGCTACATCTCACCCGATGTATGCATAACAGATGAAGTGTCAGCTCGTATACAGAGGGCTCTGTTGGCATTGGCCAAATTGTGGCATCTTTTAAGGGTCGAGTGTACGCTACGACAGTTCATCCAGTCCTGCTATACGGTGCAGAAACTTGGCCAATAAGAAAACAAGATGAAGACAGACTGTCGGTGTTTGAACATCGCTGTCTACGAAGCATTGCACGAATCTGGTGGGGTAGCCGGACGAGCACTGCTGAGATCAGACGCAAATTTTTAGGCAACCGCGGTCGCCCACTGGCGCAAGTGGTCGACATTCACGTAATACGTTGTTTCATTTCACAATTTGTTCGTCGTTTTAACTTGAGAGGAAAATCTGAACATACACACAAACATTTTTTATCAGTCGTTTGGTTTTTTTATGCAAATTGAACCTTGCTTCATGCGTGTCATATTTTTCGATGATTTCAAAACTTTCTTCGGCTGAAATGCTTCTTTTACCCTCCAATAAAATGCGTCCAATAAAGCAACTGTTATAGATTACTGTTCGGTAATACTCATAGCTTTTTCCCTTATTTATTCGTATTTTTATTCTCACACTTTTTTTGCATTATCTTTCAGACTGTCTGCTGGCCCGAGGTCACCCGCATTCTTCAAGTGATCATCTCGCGTTCCGCTGTGCTGGCCACAGTCTCACCCCCGAGTGCCTACACTCTGGCAGGTCTTGATCCGTCTGGCAGTGGTAGGGTATTAGATTTGGCAGCCGCAGCTGCAGCTGTTGCTGTTCCCCTACCGGAAAGTGAACCACCTCGTTTGGAATTGGCTGGTCCCGTAGTGGATTGCTCATTCAACATGTTGCATGAAGCACCTCTTCTTGCTCCGCAACTGGCATTACCGATCGGCAGTATGAGCACTGGTTCATCTCTGTTTGCAGCTGGTAACGGTCCTAATGATTACGAGCAACAAGCAGCTGGACCAGAAAGCCTAGCTCTCGCACCATCCTTGCGTCGCAGTGACCCAACGCGCTCGATGGACTCAGCTCTGGCCGAACTATTTGTCAGTGCAGCTTCCTCATGGAATAAATCTGGCATTTGTCAGGTAGGTCTTTTTCGTTTATTCTCCGTCGTCTCATCTCGCTTGTGTTAGTCGTAAAACGTACTTCGGTCTCAGCTTATTAAACCAATAATCGCCGGGTTTTGATCACTGTTTTTTTTCAAATTTCCGTTTAATTCTTTACTTTTTTGTGAAGTGAACAGTGGAAGAGTGAAACCAATTTTTTCATGAGGACCTACTGTTCACTCGTGATAACTGGCCACCTAAGCTCTGGTGTTTGTAATGGTAAACTACAACAACACGTCGAGCACTGTTGAAGGAACCAACGAACCAGGTAAAAAGCTAAATTTTCTATAAAATTAATCATACAGTAAAAAGTTGGCGAGATCTGCATAGTAACTGATTAGTTACACGAGCCCCGTTTTTTACGGTAATCAGCCAGTCTGTTAACATTGATTGAGTTTATCACGTGATCCCCAACCGGGAGGTCTAATGCGACCTTGGTGTGAGAGTCGCTTAGTCAGGGTTTGCATGCTCTGATACCTGGTTTTATTCTGACCACCCTTGAATCTGCTACCTGTCTCGAAAAACAACACACGTCTAGGAAGCCTATTTGCTGATATGCGTAACACAGCCCGGTCACCGCAGTCTGTGCAGGTCGGGCATTTGTGTTGGTGTGTGGTCGCGGCAATGAATATCGTTGCCCGGTTATCCCACCATATACGTGCAATGCCGTGTTGACATACTGGAATCGATCAAACACAGTTAGGCTGTGTCTGTTCGGTGGCGGATAAGAATGAGTCGGAAGAATAATAGAAGAATAAACAGCGTTGTGAGTGTTGCTTGTAAGATTAGCTGTATCTCTCGCTGTTGCTCTCTCTCTCTCACACATACTCTGGCTATATTCCAGTCACATATGGATAAAAGTGTTTGAATTGCACATTTCCTCAAGCCGAGGAAGAAAATTTTCACCAGGTATAATTAACGAACTGGCCTGTCTTCCACAGGGAGGTACTACTTGTTCGTAACTAATCCCTATTGATAACTGAGTCCGTAACTCCGTAACGAGCTTGGTAACACGCAGTTCCCTTCTCTCCTCGGTTCTGATTTACCGTTTTCTGTGATGCCCTTGATTTTTTTCGTATCCATACCAGATCTATGACTTGTCACCATACGAACTTATAGTGATGTATGCACGGTTTTCTCCGTTTCCGCGCATCTCACGTAATGCCTCACAGTTTTCCCATAAATCACGATCGATTCGTTGTTCATTTTCTCCATCAGTCTTTCTACCCTGTGCTAAGAACCATGAACCTTTCCTCTTCGCTTTCCGGTAGGCTCGTGTGCGAGAACGGTTGTACCGACTGATCGGGTGTTACGGCCTCCCAGCCGAACATCGGATTTCAGTCCCGCGAAGCCCATCGGTAAGTGATTATTATCCGCGTTTACTTCGTACCTCGTCTGTAACTGGTGCAAAACGCCCTCGAGCGTTAAAAATTCATCATGCTTTGCGCTGATCCAGTTTTCATTTGCTTTTCTCTCCGGAGTTTGATATGTTTGATATCCCCAACATTCTCATAAGGTTCTTTTATGGCTTTGTGAAAATAAATATGACCAAGAAAACACTTCGATACTGAGCGGTAACAAGCCGCTTGTTCGTAGAACTCATCTCTTCTGTCCTAGTTGTCGGAACTACATCGCCCAAATACGAAAACCGACTATGCATTGATTTGGAATGCAGCTGGTCATGGTCACGTGTCTGCCTGTCCGAGGGTCACGACCATTTTCCTGTCGGGCAGAGTACGTGAAACCCTCAGGTGACGGTTGATTGAGAACCAGTAGTGAGAGATTACGTGTTCGTGTCATGCTACCCCACCACACAACAGCTGGTCCGTTGACAAAAGTGTGTTCCAGTGGATCATGTGTGCAGAACAGTAGTCAAGTCACAGATTGGGGGCATTTTACCGCATCGTAGTTGGCAGCTTTGCTCCGTACTGTTTCTGTCCTGCTTTTGTTGTGCATTGTTCATCACTCCAAGTTTCAGGGATTGAACTACCGTTTAGCATGGGTGAACACAGTAGATTCTCCTGACTATGATGTTTAATCTCTAATTCGTCGCATATTGCTAGTGTATAGAATAAACTTCTATCATCGTTCAATTACCATCGACCTTCGCTTACTGGTCTCCCACGATCGTTTAAGAGCCGTTGATTATACTTATGCAATCCTGGTCTAGATACAGTTTAGTTCAGTTCAGTTGGGGTGGAGTGGCCAAGTGGTTAGGTCAGCAACTTGTGATCTGTGATTCCCGGGTTCAAACAGC